ATTGCACAGATCTACCCACATTGATCAACAAACACTCTGCCATTTGCTACTATGGGTTCTGGTTCCCTTGCTGCCATGTCTGTTTTTGAATCAAAATACCGTGAAGGGCTAACTGTAAGTTGGTGTATTCTGATTGGTAGAAGTGTTTAGAATGTACAAGTTAAATTGATTTTAAATTTTATCATGCTTCTTAGAATTCTTAGATTATCATTGGTCTATATAAGACAGTCAACTTGGATTAATTTGTGTTACTTTGGAATATTGTTTTCCTTCGTGTTTTCATTCCTACTTTAAAAAAAAATAGGGAGTATATGTATATACATATATATTTTTTGATGAAATGAGAATAAATCATGAAAAAGGATGAGAAATTATATTAGAGTTAAATTTTATCATGTTTCTTAGAGTTATTAGATTATCATTGGTCTATATAATACAGTCAACTTGGATTAATTTGTGTTACTTTGGAATATTGTTTTCTTTCGTGTTTTCATTCCGACTTAAAAAAATAGGGAGTATATATATACATATATATATTTTTTTTTGATGAAATGAGAATAAATCATGAAAAAGGATGAGAAATTATATTAGAGTTAAATTTTATCATGTGTCTTAGAGTTATTAGATTATCATTGGTCTATAATAAGGAGTAATGGTTTTCATTGCATTTTCTTTTTCTCCTTCCTCATCAAATTCATGAACCAAACACGACCTTAGGTCCCATTGTATCATAGGAATAGGAATGAGATTCAAGAATGCAAACTTTTTTTGAATCCCATTAAAGCATTTGGTATGCTATGTTGATAATGGAACTGCAATTCTAGATGAACACTCCAGAATTAAGGAAATATTGTTCCCAACTTAAGGTGGGATTAGGGTTTCATTCCCATGGAAAAGAGTCTGAAAATATGATAACACTGCACCCTAAGATGTCTTAATGGTTTATACAAATACATAATATGAAATATAATAAAATCGTACTGCATTAAAAGATTTAAAATAAAGTAGTAAAAAGTAATTGACTTCACAGGGTACAGTTATATCATATTTACCACACAAAAAAAAAAAAAAAAAGAAAAAAAAAAGAAAAGGTTATATCACATTATATGTTTTGTAAAGTTATGTATTTATCTCTAAATAGCACTAGCATTTCTTGCATGGATTCTAATTTGAAAGTGCAATTTCTTACGTTTGAACACTTTGTGGTTAGACACATCCTAAAACAGCATATGTAACAATTGTCCTAATAGGAGTTGCGTAACTTATGTTCAATATTCTTGCAAATGGGGCTCACGCTAGTGAATCTTGAAAATTTTCTAAAACGAGGAGCCTACATATGATCAACATAACATTAAGTATGTAATGGAAGCTTTTAATACAACTTACCAGAAAGAATTAATATTGAAAATTAAAAATTAAAAAATACATATAATATATGTAATATGCTTTTTTTTTTTTTTATTTTTTTTGATAACTCAGGTATCCCCAACCCGCTGATTTTAAGGGAAGCCAGGACTAATCCTGAGGGCCCTGAAGTTAACGACCGGGCAAACCTCCAATGGCCCCAAGGGGTGACTCGAACTCGAGACCTGTGAATTTTATCCTCCCCAAGGGGTGACTCGAACTCGAGACCTGTGAATTTTATACTCCAGACTTTACCATTCGGCCACTTGCCTTGGGGTTATAATATATGTAATATGTATTATTTGTAGAACCTCATTTTTTAAATTTGTAATTTTTTAATACAAAGATTTATACCAAACCAATAAATGGCTGCCTTACTTTTCCTGTCAAGTTTTGTTTATTTATTTTTGATAAGTAAATTCATTATAAAGTGCCCAAAGGGTGCACTCTTTGTACAAAAAAGATATATGCATCAAAAAAGTTTATTCCATGCTTTGTGGCATGATTGCATCTCGTTCCTGTTATGTTCCATTTTTGCAAACCAAGCATGCCTTTAGTTCTTAAAACCAGTCGTGGAGAATGTTAGCTCCATATGTGAAGTGAAATCCCACATTGCTTGGCTACTAAAGTAATATGTAGTATAAAACATGAGGTTACCCTCACATCAATAGTTAGTTTTTCGGGTTGGGTTTTACCCAATACTGTGTAAGACCATGATCCATCAATATGCTTTTGAGAATTCCAAGTGTCAAAATACGTATTTGTAGAGGGATGAAGGAGTGAAGTTGGTGACCGAGGCTATTTGCTCTGGCATATTCAATGACTTGGGAAGTGGAAGCAATGTTGATGTTTGCGTAATAACCAAGGTTTGTTGATTCACATTGACATTCCTTGAAAAGAATAAAAGGTTTCACTTTTTCCGTTCAATAGTTAGTTTTTCGGGTTGAGTTTTACCCAATACTGTGTAAGACCATGATCCATCAATATGCTTTTGAGAATTCCAAGTGTCAAAATACATATTTGTAGAGGGATGAAGGAGTGAAGTTGGTGACCGAGGCTATTTGCTCTGGCATATTCAATGACTTGGGAAGTGGAAGCAATGTTGATGTTTGCGTAATAACCAAGGTTTGTTAATTCACACTGACATTCCTTGAAAAGAATAAAAGGTTTCACTTTTTCCGTATTTTTGATACTTTTCACGTGGCATGTCTTTCTAAACTCCTTTTGTCAATGTTTGCCTGTACAGGGGCAAACAGAGTACCTGAGAAACCACCAGTTGCCCAATCCTCGCACTTACATCAACGAAAGAGGCTATTCATTCCCAAAGAAGACTGGTCAGTAATTCTGTCCTAAACATTACCTTCATGTTGATACTTACAATTTTGCTTCATATAACTTTTAGAACTGTCTTCTTTTTGTTGTTTCAGGGCTTTGTACTATTATTTTTTATACTTAGATTAAAAAGAAAAATAAAAAAGAAAAGAAAAAGGAAGGCTTATCTTGTTTGATTTTGAGATTGTTATCACAATAACATTATTTATTGAGCATTTTAGCATTTATCTGCCAACTGACCTTGTACTGGACTCACTTCTTAAACTATAATGCTAGAATATTATGAGGCTGGTGATTTTTGTCTTCTGCTTATTCTAATATGGATAATTAATATTTGATGGTCTATGGATAAATGTATATATATATATGGGCAACAATTCATGCCGAAAACATAAGTCTGATGCTATGGCCAAGTCTATATATTTCTTGGATTGTAGGGTAATATTTGTAACCTCACGGTAACATTTGGTTGTGATTGCAGAGGTTCTGTTGACAAGGATTACACCGTTGAAACAGATGGTGGAAGTAACTGAAGCAGGAGATGCAATGGAAGAATGAGTTACTGTGGTTGAACCATGCTCGGTATTTTGTATTGATTTCTTGCCATTTATGACACTGTTTACTCTCATATTGTATCAGGTGTGACATTAAAAATTTAAAACTTAGTTGTTTCCTTTCTGCAATTAACATTTGCTTAGTTCCTTCATTATGTTATATGCGATCTTTGTGGTGGTGTGGAATCTCATATGAATACTGGAGATTTAGGTGTGGCAATTTCGAAGAAAGATCATTTTGAGCCACTGTTGTTTTTTTTTTTTTTTTTTTTTTTTTGTTGATGGTTTTTCTCTATTGCATGCACAGAACAAACACTGTTTAAATTATCTTGTCTCTTTTGTGGTTATGTGGAAGCTGCTGAAAATGATGAAAATGCAGAACAAGGTCTAGTGATATTTGAAAACGTCATTTCTCTCCCCCTCCCCCCTCTTTCTCCCTATACGAGGATAGACCATTACCTGTTTTAAGATTAAAATTCTGAATCCCAGCATCTATATGAGCAGAGTCAATTAGAGTAATAAGTTATTTAAATTTGGCTCGAAAAGGAGTTTGAAAATGTGTTTAAGTTTTGCTTGTTTATTTTTCGAACCAATCTCAAAAGAGTTTTAATGAGCCGAGGTTGATTAGTTTTATTTTTTATAATGCATATGACTGAGTCAAGTCAAGTAAAGATCGTTGAAGTTTAGTTTAAAAACTTAATAAGTTTTAAAATGTATGGAAACTTAAACATGTTTTTAACAAGCCAAATATGAGTGAGCTCAAGTAGTTTGATTTGTCTTACAACTCTAGTTGAAACTCATTGCGAAGCAAATATTAGAAGATCAAAGAAAGACCACAATAAAATGATTTTATTGCTTAAACAAACTAAAACAGTATATGGAACTTCATTAAACTTCTTTAATAAGGCTGTATTTAGATGATGAATTTGGGTAACGATTTAGAAAAAGAAAGAAAACAGAAAAAGGAAAAAAAAGAAGTGAAAAGTTGAGTAAAATAATATTACATTTCATTCACATTTCAACTATTTTTTCTTTTTGTCTTCTCAAATCTTTAGTTAAATTCATGATTTAAATACAGCCTAAATGACTTCTTATATGTTTGTTCTTAAAAAAATGATATAAAAGTCTACTTTTTAAACCTATTTTTTAGACCTAGTGATGTGTCAACCAGATGTGTCAACCAATCATCATCTTGACACATCACTGGGTCTAAAAAGTAGGTCTAACTTTTGAGACTGAATAACAATACTCTTGTTCTTTTCACATATTTCTTCCATATGTATAAATGCATCACTATCTTCTCTATCTCATGCTAAAACTACGAGACTCCCAAGCATGTTCTTTCTGAAGAAATCCAACACAGAGTTGAATCGAAGGAAAGGCGTGGTCACCTTCAAACTTCTAGTACTATTAACAATTTTGAACCACTGACTTGCCGGGTCGCACTTGTGACGTATTTTTAAGCATTTACAAGTATTCGTGACGATAGTATTGCTATTGAGGTCCACATCCAAGCACACGTGGGCGCCGTGGTGGGCAAGCTTGGCTTCTTATATGTTTGTTCTTAAAAAAATGATATACAAGTCTACTTTTTAAACCTATTTTTTAGACCTAGTGATGTGTCAACCAGATGTGTCAACCAATCATCATCTTGACACATCACTGGGTCTAAAAAGTAGGTCTAACTTTTGAGGCTGAATAACAATACTCTTGTTCTTTTCACATATTTCTTCCATATGTATAAATACATCACTATCTTCTCTATCTCATGCTAAAACTACGAGACTCCCAAGCATGTTCTTTCTGAAGAAATCTAACACTGAGTTGAATCGAAGGAAAGGCGTGGTCACATTCAAACTTCTAGTACTATTAACAATTTTGAACCACTGACTTGCCGGGTCGCACTTGTGACGTATTTTTAAGCATTTACAAGTATTCGTGACGATAGTATTGCTATTGAGGTCCACATCCAAGCACACGCGGGCGCCGTGGCAGGCAAGCTTGGATGAGAGGTGCATATTAGAGTCTGAGATGGGCTCCCATTTTGAAGTTGAGCCACTGCAAATCACACCAAGCTTGACTGGTTTGTTTAGCCCGTCTGCTTGTAAACAGAAATAAGTTCCTTTTATGGTTATTGTCTTTTGCTGTGTGTTGTAAATCCAAGCCTCAGAGTCTGTGCATGGACCTAGATTCAATGGCTCCAGCAGTGATTTTCTTTGGAGACACTGACCAGTTAATGGGTGGAAAATTACTTTGTGTTGTTTGGCTCCTGGTTGGCCTGGTTGTTCTATTGGCCCTGCATGCCAAACAGAGCACAAACAAAACCATTTATATATAGGCAGTTACAAATCTGTAATATGATTGAATTTAACAGTTAAAATTTTCCCTTGCAGTTACAGAAGGGCATTTTCAGAAAGTACAAAATGCAACATTTTGTGTTAATACCAACTCCAGTATTTATTCACTCAAAAAAGCTCAAGTATTCGATTTAAATGTTAAGAGATTTTTAAAAAGTGTACAATATTTTATTGTACTCATTTTTATATATAATATATAATCATTTAAGTTTCTTAATATGTACTCGAATGATACGCGTTAACAAAAAATATGTAGATGATATTCAATTCCAAGCTCTCAAATTAAAGTTGGTATAGGTTTGTAAGGGATGCGCATAAATCTAACTTGGAGAAAAACAATAAATGAAATTAAAAAAATAAATTATACACTAGGCTTCCTTCGCCAATTAGTTAAAAAATTAGTTTCCAGAAAAAATTATTTGTCATATTTCTAGCTTTTTGACTTCTTGGACTTAACCTAAGTTTTTTAGCAGGCAATGAGTTTGTCGAGTTGGTCAAATAAGCGAAGGCTTCTTAGACTTACGAAATTTGTTATTTTTTATGAAGTATTTTTGAAATACCAACTTAACATGCCGATGTGATACTCTCAAATTAATAAGAGCATTATGCGTGGAGCCAACTCAATCCACCTTGGTCAACTAGGTGAAGACAAAGTCAGTCTATCTATCTCATATTCTATCAGTCAAGAACACTACATACACATAACACTGTGGTGCTCCAAAAATAATATATATATTTCTAAAAAAGTCATGAATTCAATACCTTGAAAGGGTAATTGGATGCCAGAGATCCTGTCCAAGAAGCTTGAATTCCTAGCCTCAGACCAATTCCAATTGAACAACCCATAAACCTCGTCGAACCCACTCACCCCTTCTTTCAAATAATAACTCCCAGCAAGAGTCCACAAAGCCCAGTCAAAGTCAAGTTCAGCAGCCACACCCAACAAACAATTTAGGTACCTATTGTCAATGACATCTGTACCCCTTACGTCTACCCCAAACTCACTTAGAAACAAGGGGTACCCTTGCTCCAACACAAACCCCGCCTTCCTCATAAATTGATGCATGGCTCGCCCACAAACGTGGTTTGGGTTGCCCCTTTTCCATGGCAATCCATCAGAAAACCCGTACCAATGCACCTCGAATACTAGCTTTCCGGTGAACGATAGGCTTACCGGACGTTTGATGAGAAAGGATAAATCTTTGTCGAAAGTCAATCCAGAGAGAATGACAAGAACATCTGGGTTTATTGCATGAACTGCTTCTGCTCCTTTTTGCATGTACCTAGCATGTTTGATATAGATTATTTACAAGTTAAATTAAGCATTGTGTATGATCAAAAAATTTTTTTATGGTTGATTTTGTGTTCTAGACTTGCACCTAGAATTAATATGATGTACCCATTTTAAATTCTCAATTTTTTTTGAATATGTAATGTTGATGATTTATTAGGTAACAAGTACAATTTTGTTCAATTGACAGATTTTTTAAAATAATTATTCGATATTTTTAGAATATCATATAGATATGGCATTCTCCATATAGTACTCTATACTAGTGACATAGCAAAAAAATTATGAATATGACTTGAGAATAACTTATTATATTTCGTGATTATTTATTTTATTGAAATACCATATAAATAATGTTATATGATACTCAGGAGATTAATCAATAGTTTTTTAATTTATTTTTTTTGTAATAATAGAATAATATTATTAATTACCTGTACCAATCATTGACATTCTGTTTGGGGCCACGAAGTTCATTCCTCAAGCTCATCCCAACAACATTTGTGGTGCCCTTAAACAAAGTGGCCATCATGGTCAGGCCTTTGATCCAAAGGTCAGGATTGAAGTACTGGTCACCAAAGAATCCACTACCGTCGAATTTGCTGCAACACCAACCAGGCTTGCTTATGTGATTGTCCAATATCACCATTACATTATTCTTCCCAAGGTTTGACACCACGGCCTAATATATTCACAATTCATACACTCTTCAATAAAAAATATTTCATAATAATATTATTATAAATTTAAAAAATTTATCCAAAAATATAAACGTAATATAAATTTAATCTATAAATGAATCTCACATTTCACCCTTCAAGCCCCAACCATTTCCTTACTTTTTGGGTTATTTTCCTGCTTTAATTTCTAGATACTTAAAATACGTCAAAATACAACATTTGGGCAAAATAATATGTTAAAATATAGCATTAACACAAATAAAATTAAGATAAATTATACTAATCCCCTTTGAGGTTTAAAAACAATACAGTAAGTTCTATAGCTTTAACATTGTGACCCCTGAACTTTTCTTTTAAAATTTTAATAAATAGAACTCAAAAATAAATAAATAAATCAATAATAATAATAATAAATAAATAAATAGGAAATTGGGAAGTTATCAATTAAATTGTTTGCGAGGCACCACACATTAAATATTTTAGTAAGTGGTAAGTGATATTTTATAATTTGGTAGTGAGGTTTTTACACGTGAACCTAACTTATAATTATACGTAATTTTAGAAATTATGATTTTTAAAATTGGAATAACATAATAAATAAATATTAAAAATACAACAAAAGGAGTAAATTTCGGTGTAGGCCAAGGGGCAGCTTGGGCCTTGGTGAATTCAGGGAGATGAAGGAAAGGGGCGAAAGAAAGAGTTAAACTTGAGGAGTGAAGAACAGGTGGCAAAGAGCGGAATTCTCCGCATGTGCGTTGACTTTACTTGGGCTTTGCTTGGGCCTCACTTTAAGAGATGTATAAATGAGAGGTCGGTGCTGTAGCAAGAATCAGAAGTGAAGTAGAATCAGGAGCAAAAGACGAGGTAAAGTAGTGTAAGGAGAGCATAGCAGTGAGGCTTTGCAGCACGGAAAATAGGGATAAATTTATATCAAAAGTAAATTTTATTATATTTTGAGTTATTATAATATATTTTTTATATGACTTAAGTTATCATAATATATTTTATGAATGTTTTGAATTATTATAATTTATTTGATATAAATTATGTTTTATGGTTAGGATAATGTTTCAATTACGTGAATTATTTTTTGAACTCTATTTGTTTAAATTAAAATCCATAGATATGTTTGTTTAAATTTTAGAGATTATTTGGCAATGATCTTATAAATAATTATTTTCAGTAAGTACCACCACGGGAGTCCCATGCCTTGGGAGACTTAAATAACCATTGGCCCCTGTTTGACTACTTTGTGGTCCCGTGTTTGTCATGGATCCATTGACCCCTGTTCTGATTGTCACTTTAGTGACCCTTGCTCTGTTCTGTTCTGTACCGTGGTTATAGTTATTTATTTCAGTGTTTGCCACCTAATTAATTTGTGTATTCAACTCAAATTATGTTAATGTTTTATCTTAAATAACTATCCATGGCTATTTTGTGCCCCTACACTCACAGTATAATATGTCTCATTTTGCTATGTGCTTATAGCTGTTACTCCTTTCAGGTGACGAGATTTAGCGGGATCAAGATGGAAAATGAATCGCTGTGTTGTTTTTTTTAAAATCTTTTTTTTATTTCTATCTGTTTTGTTTTGAACTCTTGTAATATAATAAAGTTCAAATGACTATATTTTATTCCCTTTTAAATAAGCATTTGGTACCCAATTATTTTATTTAATTTATCCGCTTGCGCTACGACTATAAAATTTATTTGAATTATTTTATTTTTATCTTGTTACGACGCCGAGCCTTTGGGTACCGGGTTTGGATCGTGACAAAAGTGGTATCAGAGCAATGATTTTTTTTGTTAAAACAAAAAAAATAGTGTTAAGTTTTTGAATTTTTCCGTATAATTTTCACATTATTTGAATTGAAAAATATATATATATATATATGTATAATATATTCAAAAGAAAATTTATTAACCTTGTGTTATTTGATATTAGGTGATATGTCTAACACAAGTAAACCATGTTATAATGTCTAGGCTAAGTTTTCCTGTGTTGTAAGAAATGGCCAATCTCATGGAGTTGTTTTGGGATAGAGCACCGTGGGTGGGAGTTTGAATCCCTCATGCAGAGTGAGTTTGCGGGGTTATTTCATAGGCCAGTTTTCCGGAGTCAGTTTTCATGGTGGTGGCCTAACGGCCCCTTCTAGATGATCCTTTTGTGTCCTGACGGTGATTAGCCTAATCCAATTTTGTATCAGTAGGATTAGATACTAACACTGACCGTCATCTAAGTATGTCGTACTGGTATCTTTTCCTTATATAAGTAAAACTGGTATTATGTAAATAATGTATGTATTGGATATATATGTTGTTATGGGATCGTTATGAATCATAGATATAATATTGCAATAATAATTGATTAAAAAAAAAAAACAACAACAACAACAACAACAAAAAGGGAAGCCCACTAACAGTTTTCACCTTGTAGTGATGGCTAATGATGGAAATGGAACCAAATCGTCGGCCAGTGGTACTGACCCAATGGAGCAAATCATGGAAAGAGCAATTACTAGTTTTCTGCGAGCCCTACAAACCAACGTTAACAGCGGAGTGCCTAAACGACGAGAATAGCCGACTACTATAAAACAGTTCCAGGACTTAAAACCTACCATATTTACCGGCAGCACAAACCCACTGGTGGCAGAAGCTTGGGTTAGAGAGATGGAGAAAATTTTCCACGCTCTACCTTGCGCAGAAAGACAGAAGGTGACTTTCGCCACATTCACCTTCAAGGACGATGCACAAGAATGGTGGCTATTTACCCTAGAAAAAGAAGATATTGTGACTTGGGCCAGATTCTTGGAGGTATTCTATGAAAAATACTTTCCAGATTCGCTACGGGAATAAAAGGCGTCAGAATTCATACATCTAAGGCAAGGAACCATGACAGTGGCCGAATACGAGAGCAAGTTCACGCAACTGGCCCGATTCGCGACATACGTCATCCCCACCGAAGCTCGAAAAGCCAGAAAATTTGAAGCAGGATTGGATCCTGAAATTAAAGATAGGCTGGAGGTTTTGAAACTACCAACCTATGCGGAGGTGGTAGATCGAGCATACATTGCGAAAAAAGGGATTAAAACCTTGCGTTCCGGGAAACCAAGCCAGAGGAAGCGATTTTGGGAAAGAGATAACAGAAGACCCGGTGTCGCACCTCCCAAGAAAGTAAATACAAGCACAACCAATTCAACCAGTTCAAGCAATCAAGGTCCTGCAAATCCCAGAGGTGACACCATTTCAGCTTGCACTACCTGTGGAAGGACTCATTGGGGACAGTGCCGTCGAGATACGGAAGCATGCTTTAGATATCGCCAAGTTGGCCATTTGCTGAGAAATTGTCCAAAGCTCGTCCACCCCTTTGAACCAGTCCGAAAATCCACAGTACTTGGAGAAGTGAGAAAGGACCAAAAACGCCAAGGAAGAGCTTTTGCCTTAGTACCTGGAAACCCAAAAATTACAGAAAACGTCGTGTCAGGTACACTTTCTGTTTGTGGTCACTTAGCCTATGTTCTCTTTGACTCTGGCTCAACTCATTCTTTTGTTACACCGCACTTTGCTACCAAGTTGGCATCAACATCCGAACCCTTAGGATATGCATTATCTGTGTCTTTTTCTTCTGGTAATTCTGTCCTTAGTACTAATGTGTACAAATCTTGTACTATATCCTTAAAAGGTGAAACCTTACATGCAAATTTGATTCCCCTCTATATTAGTACCTTTGATGTGATCTTAGGAATGGATTGGTTAGCTGCCCACCATGCCTCTATCGATTGTAAAGCCAAAAAGGTCTTCCTTCGGTCACCAAACCAACTCGAACTTGTTTTCGAAGGAACTGGAACCTCTCCCCCTCCATGTATTATATCCTTCATGACAGCCCAACGACTGCTAAGAAAGGGCTGTTGTAGTTGTATCTGTTATGTGATCGATACTCAACAAGAGACCCCCACACTTGATGCAATCCCCGTGGTTCGAGAATTCCCGGATGTATTTCCTGAAGACCTGCCCGGTACCCCAATTGACCGAGAAATTGAATTCACCATTGAAACCCAACCTGGTGCACAACCAATCTCAAAGACCCCTTATCGCATGTCTATGACAGAATTGGAAGAACTAAAAACCCAACTCCAAGAACTACTAGACAAAGACTTCATCCGACCAAGTTCAAATTGGACCTAATGGAATAGTCAAAAAGAATATGGGTTGGATGGAATAAAACTCTTAGAAAATGGATTTATCAAAAAAGCTCCCTTGTTTAAATTTTAGAGATTATTTGACAATGATCTTATAAACAATTATTTTCTGTAAGTACCACCACGGGAGTCCCATGCCTTGAGAGACTTAAATAACCATTGGCCCTTGTTTGACTACTTTGTTGTCCCGTGTTAGTCATGGATCCATTGACCCCTGTTCTGATTGTCACTTTAGTGACCCCTGTTCTGTCCTGTCCTGTTCTGTTCTGTTCTGTACCGTGGTTATAGTTATTTATTTCAGTGTTTGCCACCTAATTAATTTGTGTATTCAACTCAAATTATGTTAATGTTTTATCTTAAATAACTATTCATGGCTATTTTGTGCCCCTACACTCACAGTATAATATGTCTCATTTTGCTATGTGCTTATAGCTGTTACCCCTTTCAGGTGACGAGATTTAGCGGGATCAAGATGGAAAATGAATCGCTGTGTTGTTTTTTTTTAAATCTTTTTTTTATTTCTATCTGTTTTGTTTTGAACTCTTGTAATATAATAAAGTTCAAATGACTATATTTTATTCCCTTTTAAATAAGCATTTGGTACCCAATTATTTTATTTAATTTATCCGCTTGCGCTACGACTATAAAATTTATTTGAATTATTTTATTTTTATCTTGTTACGACGCCGAGCCTTTGGGTACCGAATTTGGATCGTGACAAAAGTGGTATCAGAGCAATGATTTTTTTTGTTCAAACAAAAAAAATAGTGTTAAGTTTTTGAATTTTTCCGTATAATTTT